GACGTCAAATTTATGAAGCCATGAACACACATCGGCTGTGCACTCCTTCGGATTCACGATTCAGCCTCATCATCAGCACTCCCGTTGTCTTCGCGAAGAATCTCCCGCCAAGTTTTCTTGCGGCCACCTACGGCCTTGGGAGCGCGCCGCAGCCCGACACGCTTCCCTATGTGCGTAGGGATCCTGTCACCGCACGCGAAGTCCTCGTGCCACACTCGGAAGCAAGTCTTCTCGCCACCTCTGCGCGCCTTGCCACACAGGTAGAACTTGGCGTCGCCGTTGGAGCAGTCCGGGCAGTAGTAGGTCGTCTGGAACGACTTTTTGAGCTCGCCTCGATACAGTGAGCACACCTTGCACGACCGCTGACGCCTCTTCTGGATGCCGCCTCTCACAGTCACCCGGTCGTTGAGCTGCACGAGCGTGTGCCCGGAGAATGCGGGGCGCCGTCGCTTGCGTGCTGCTGGCGACGGAGTGGGGGCTGCCATGAAGTCTTCGTCCTTGAGCTGTAGCAACTGCTTGTGCAGCATGCTCAACCACTCGTATCGCTTCATGGGCGTCTCGCCGGCGAGGCGGCTGGCCTCTTTATGCGTGAGGTACGCGTTGACGAGCGTCAGGTCCAGTAGTCCGAGGAAAAGACTCTTGTAATACTTTCGGAACCTGAAGGAGACATAGAGGGAGGAGGACTGTAGGCGGAGCTGGTCATGCATGTCGACTCCTCCCATCCAGCGCTGGTAATCCGTCACCAGCCTTGGGCACTTGAACATCGAAGTCCCGAGCCCTTCAGGTTCCGCTGGATCCTGTCCTCTGCCATGGAACACACCGGTCGCGAGGTAGTGGAACGGGCTTCCGTTCCCACCAGAGGCACGAAACAATGGGCCGGCACTGCCGTCGATCTTGCGAGCTTGAAAGATCCCACGCTCGATGCACCTTGGTCGCGTCTTATGCTCCGCTACGACGTCGCGGTTGAAGCCCAGGCGGTTCGTCATGATCGTACCGATCACGTAGATTGACATAGAGAGAAGCTGGATGGCGAGAGCTACGGACGAACGAAGCGGTCGATGACCACAACCCCGAAGCCACGATGCCCAGCTAGAACAGTGCTCAGGTTGCGGATGACTGCCGCAGCACCCGTCTTACGGTCAAATGCCTGCGCAGCACACTCGCTGGCTTGTGTTTTCCGACGTAGATCTCAAACCTGAAAGATACGACATTGAGAGCACGGTCAAAATCATAAAGTCATAACTTACGACCTAGCAAATCGACCAAAAAAACCATTCGTCGCTTACCGGTGGCAGTACGCAGTCAACGAGTCGCATGTCATAAACATCTTGGTCCCGTAGCGGTGAGGCTTGTCTGGCATGAACATCCTGGTCGTGTTGCGTCTGGATGTCGCCGGCAAGACGCCTTCGTCAAACGAGATGATGTTCGGCGGCTTCCACGCGCTCAGGAACCGTTCCTGCAGTACATCAACAACGTCACGGATCTTCCACAGCTTGTCTTGACGGTTCGGGCTGTCATTGTTCGCGAAGTGTAGATCGCGCAGGATCGACGTGCAGCGGTTCCGGCTCATGTACTTGCCGAACGCACCTGCACTTAAAGCACCATCGTCGGTCATTGCCCAGTGCTGATGACGTCTACAATGTGCGACGACGACGGAACGTGCTTCTTCTACATCAAGGCTGTAGACGAAGTGAACGTCATTCATGTGTACAACATGTACACGCACCCTCCCGGATATGTGGATGCCTACTTTTTCTATCGAGCGGCGATGGTCCAGTCCTGGAATAAGTTCTGCTTTCAAGGTGGCATGTTGGATGTGCGCGCTCAGCTTCCTGGGGCTGTAACTGAAGCGTCTGGAAACCCGGACCTGGCGTTAGGGAAAAACGGCAAGGTCAAGACGACCAAGTACTACCCGACGTGGCCTGGAATCTGGATGATGGGGAATCTTGGTCGAGCCATCTTTTCAGCATCGACAAACCGAATGTGGCCGTTCTCCTACGATCGATGTGAGCTGGACGTGTTTGACCCGGCCAACCAGCGCATCAGTGCATGTGACGACAACCCTGGCTACGGTTTGAACCCGAATCAAGGTCGTGGTGCGCCTGAGATCGATCTGCTCGAAGGAGGTGGTCTCGCTGTGTCGTCGTCACTGCAGATTGCCCCCGGAATGCCGGATGACTACCGTCTTTTCCCTGTGGACACCTCAGCCGGAGACAACTTGTACTGCGTTTACGGCTATAGCTGCACTACTCCTGGCGCCAACTATATCGATGTCCCGACGGCATTTTACGAAAAGGAACGTGGCCACAAGTCGTGGTACCAAGGCCTTCGGTATGCGTCAAACAACTTCTGCCAACCAGACGCTGACGCCAAGCAGAACTACGCCTCGGTCACTGCGTCACTCAAGAAAGGAATCACAGAGAACTCATGTACAGCGTCTACATGTCCAGCTTCGGGTGATGTGAACGCTGACATCGGACTGATCGACGACAAAGGAGGAAACCACTGGGGGATTAACACGAACGGCACGTGCTACCCGCTTGTGAATTATACATGGGCGCGTACCTGTGCGATCCCGACAATACCTTCTCCAAGTGTGCTCTGCC